CTCCCTCTTCCTCTGGAAGACGGTCTTTAAAAATAGTGTGCAACAGAAAACTATTGTCTGACCGGAGAATAATTATCATAACAACCTTTGATCCGCGTCACAAGCGAAATTGATTTTCTCGACTCTCGGTCGTTTTCTCGATAAGCCGGATAATTTTCATCCTAGCTGCACTACAAACGGAATATTATTTTGCAAAATTCGCGCACATTCAAACTATTCGAATAATTCGAAAGACTCGAATAATCTAAATATCTGCGAGGAATCGTGAATAATAATTTACACCGACTTATAATCAGAAAGCAAACACGGACGATATTCGCAGAGTTCTTAGGATATACATATAATGCGTACCTGAATAACACGCGAAGCATAAAGCCCCTCGTCAACTTATACGCGCGAATAACGAAAGATAGTGTGTGTGTGTGTGTGTGTGTGTATGCGCGCGCGCGTGGATAAAAACGGAGAATAAACAGAGACGCGCGTTTATAATCACAGCGTCGGGCGTAAATAACAGGCGAGGACAATACGCGAGGTTTTATCGCGCGGCGCGTATTAATGAGTTTGTTTTCGAGCGCGTCGCACTCTCTCTTTCTCGGCGCAGCATCGCGCCGGCGAGCGGCGCGAGATTCGACCCTTTTTTTCGGCGTTCGTTACGCGCGCCGGAATTTATTAAGGTACGCGGAGGAATTTATGCGCGGTCGGTTTCTCGCCGGCGACACAATCCGCAACGCGCCGCTGCTGCGTCAGAGCTGCGTATATCGGACGTTAATGAAGTTCCGCGATTGTTTCCCGCGTCCTCTTGCGAAAAAAAAGAGGAAAAAGAAGATAAAAGCTGACTCAACGTGTGGAGAGAGATCGGTGTAATTGTAGGTAGGTGGGAACACGACCACCACGTGCGTGAAAGGTTCTGAGAAAAATCGATCTTCCACGAATCCGCCCGCAGTCGCGGCGGACAACAAAGGCCGTGACGATATCTGTACCTCGAAATGCAAGCGAGGAAAGTAACGCGCGCGTGTACTTCGTAATGGCTTACGCATTTCGAGATATTATTTTGCGCAGAATGTATTCAGTGGCTCGCCTGATCATCATTTCCAAAATTATATACAAGGTATTTTAGAATATGTTCTGTTATTCATATATTCACTGAATATTCGCTAAAACAATTTTTTCAAAATACGTTTTTCATATATACATAAGTTTATCACTCACGCGCTGTTCAAGTTAAGCGATAAAGTGTCAAGTTTTATAAAAAATAGATGTAAAATATATATGTATAAGTATATATTAAAATATGCAATACATCGTAAAAGTTTAAATGAATCTTAATTTCATGTAACTATATTATCATCGCAACGTAATTACTCACACAAGAGTAATTGGCTTGATCATGCAACAAAGTACATAACATTTAATGAAGCATTGACCGTGTTCTCAATACCTAATTTTTGCGACTAAGCAGATGGTCCGAATTATTTCTCGTAAGCTTGAGCATTGCACATAAATCTAGTGACTAGACTTTCATTCTATTTTGATATTATAGCTTCAGCATTTTATACAACAAAGCTTTGAATTAAATTTATTACACTAGAAAGTCATTATAATTATCATTTAATTGTCTGCATATTGGATAGGAATTTATAATATAGCACGGAGAAAACAAAAATTAACTACTATCACTTTTTAGCTGTTTCTATATATTATACATAAAATTTAGTTATCATACCTAAATTTTAGTTATAATTGCTAATATTTTTAGCTATAAAATTCTCCATTAAACTATAACTAAAATATTAGTTATCATATAGCTAAAATTTTAGTATGATAACTAATATTTTTAGCTATAGTTTATATAATGGAAAATTCTATACTTAAAAATATTAATAAAAATATTATCGTAACTAAAATTTAAGCCTGATAATTAAAATTTAGATTATAATATATACGGACAGCTAAAATTTAGCTATATGGTGGCTAACTTTTTTCCGTGAAAATATATGTAAAAATTTCAAAAACTGATATACATATAATACGCGTACTTTTATTAATTAATATATGCTAAATTGACGAGAAGATGCGTTATATAAGTTTATGTTCTAAAAATTCTAAAAATTAATCTTATTAAAGTTAAATAAATTTTTTGTTCCAATAATAAATGTGACTTGCTAATTTCTGTTCGTTGCTACATGTAAGCAAAGAATTATCTTATCATTTTGCTTTAATAAACATTAAACATTATTAGGCAATATTTAAAAGACACAGATTTTTTGGTGAAAGGTATGAATATATAGGCATCTGTAACTTTTTTCTTCTCCTCTATATTCATTCAAATCTACCGATTTAAATCTGCTAAATCTCTTTTATGAAGATTCTCTTTTAAAAATTCAATGTACCAAAAAATATTATTAAAGATACAACAGCAAATAAAAAATGTCCGCTAAGCGATACCTATACGAATAAAATTAAGAACTTTTAAAAGTATATGTACAACATCGTGAGATAGTGTAGAAATATAAAAAAAAAGATATTTGTGTGCCTCTAAATTTTTAGAGTGATAATACATGACTGGTTGAATCACTGGACTTATTGTTAGAGTGACTTTTCACTCATAGGAGTGAATTTTTTCACTTTTTGTTAAAGAGTGAAAAATTTACTGCGCAAAATGGAGTGTATCTATTTTGTAGAGCAAATATTTTCTATGCAATATGAAGTGAATATTTTTATTGAAGAATGAATCCGCTATTAGAAAAAAATATTGTCATCTGTCTATCTTACACTATCGTTGCGCGTGTATACGAAACATATCCGTGTTCCTTGATAAGGATACAAAAATTTCACATATTTTTGTAGACTATAATTGATATAATACACTTATATGGTGAGAAAAAATCAGAAAAAAGATTTAGCCGTCTTTTACATTGAGATAACATAGGTCTTGAAAATATTTTTAAGACGTCTTTTCATATATACCTATAGTTTAAAAAATTGTCAAGATATTTTTTAGACACGCACATAGGAGTTTAGGTGTGATATGCAGCATCAATTAGTTGAAATAAGAAGCGATGATATTGCTTTTTATTTCAATTAATCGGAATTTTACTTCGCACGCAGCATGCTATCTCATTGTCAGTGTAAAAATCAGATTTCAATTAAGATTCATATTTTTAAGAGTAATTCTGTTTAAAAAAACTTGTAACAAAATTAAATAAAAAATTCACTTGAAAAGCAGCTATGAGCCTACTACCTGATCGAATGAATTACTTCGAAACGAGTAACACGTTCACATACGTTAAGAGTTAAACAGTTTATTTTTGCAAAAAGTAAATTTTCACTAATTACGACTGACACGCTGTAAAAAAAATTTATTAACTTAAGCTAAACCTTTCAACTAAATTACTATTTTATTTATTGAACATATATTAGTATTTAATTGTAAGTCAAATATACGTTTTATTAGATTTAATATGTTATATTTGATTTAAATATTTTTATATATTCAATTAACAAAATATTTAGTTGAAAGGTTTAGTCAACAATTTTTTTCAGTGCAGTATTTTCACTATATCGCTTGTAGTGAATATTCACTAGTTTAGAGTTAGAGATATCACTCTAAGAAATTCAGGAAGTATCTTTTGAAATATCCTTTTGTAAAAGTCAAAGTAGAAATATGATAAGATAAATCTTTGTTGACACTATCATGTGCAATAAATTGAAACAAGTCACTCTTGCATTACAAATCGAAATATAATTTTTATGTGTATTGCGCATAAACAATTTTTATTTATAAAAACACTTGCACATATCAAATTAATTTATATTTAATTTATTAATCTATATATAATTAATCCATATTTATACACACATATGCTACATACATGTAGCAATTTCAGAACGCACAGAGATGTATTTCCTCCCCTTCTTAAAATATTAAATTAATAAATATAATATTCAACAAAGTTAAAACGTACAATATTGTGAGCTTTAACTTAAAGCATCAATACAAAACTTCCTTGGAATTGCTACATTATATAATTTCTATCCTCTTATGTCAACACACGAGTTTTTCTACACTTTTTTACTAACAACGTCAATGTTATCACGCAGTAGTTTACATATCGACACGTGTGTGATGTACATACACGTTTTTTCACTTGCTTTTAGAACATGGTACGAAGCTTGTTCGATTTTTAAAAAAATTATCGCGCGGAAATCGGGAAATATTTAGAATAGGAAATATATTTTAACGCCAAGTTCATCAGAATTTCTAAAGCTTTCATAAATATTCTGCATCTCCGAGCTGGCAAGTAACGCGCGATAACACTACAAAAGCACGTGTAAACGCGTAAAATAAACAAATATATATAACTCCAACGCGTACTCTCGTACTAAATATATATTACAGCCCACCCACCATACACGCCGAATTTGTATATATATCTTTGTATCGAACAAAGTGTAAACGACCAAATGTCATTTCAACACTAAATACAGAGCCCACGAAAAACGTCTCTTGGAAGATTTCGGTGTTTATATTCCGTTCTCTCTTCCATAACTTTAATAAAGAGCTCATACGCGCGATAAGATAAGCCGAGTATGTGTTACCGATATTGAAATAGGGAACGATTCGTTTATCGTTTCTGTCCAAGCCTACGAAGCGGGTCGAAAAACCGCTATCACGAGAATTTTAACCGCGAACGCATCTCGCTTTTAGTTTAGAGAAAATTCGCTGCCGCGATCGTTACAATTGTCGAACCGCTTATCGCGCGAGCGCCAAATATTATCGCCTTGACGTTCTCCCGGGAACTGTAATGATCGAAAATGATACACGCGCGCGGGAATGTTTCTCGGAAGGAATTTCCGCGTCTCTGCGGCCTCGTCCAATCACGTCCCGCTCTTTCGCGCGTCGCGTCGCCCGATAAGAGAGAGAGAGGAGACGACGTAAAGAGTAGCAAAAAAAAAAAAGAGCAGGAGGAAGGGAGATAATGAGAGATTTTTTCTCTTACCTGCGACTCGTGGCCGTGTCCAGCATGGTAATCCAGTCCTGCGCTGGATGAATGGCGGGGTGGGCTATCTCAACATCCCCGCGAGAAGATTCCTATCGACGAACGAATCGTGAAGTGAGCCGAAGAACTTTCCACCGCAGACGCTTCACACTGTTCCCCCGCCGCGAGGGGGAGGGGATATATATATATAATATATATATATATATGTATGTATTCCCGACAAATGAGCCGCACGACGAGAGATTGACCGATTCCCGCGTGGCGGTGACAGGAGAGAAAGAGAGAGAGAGAGAGAGAGCGAGAGCGACGACCGCCGTATATTTACGAGACGGAAAACGAAATCACTCCACTAAAGCTGTTACAATTCGTACGCGCATTCGGGATCGAATATATGCGGAAGAACGCCCGTGTGTGGCTGTCGCACCACTAAACGCGTATATAGAGAGAGAGAAGCGCGCGCGCGCATCCGCTTCTCTCCTTTTTCCGGAACTTTCGAAACTCCGCGAGAGAAGGGGAGGGGGGAGAGAGAGACACTTGTTAGGCGAGCGCGTGCAACACAAACGCGAATAAAAATCGCTCGCGCAAACGTTGATCACAGTCGGGAGCGAGAAGACTCGAGCGTCGCTAATAACTTCTCGCCACTACTACTTCTCCGCGACGATCGCTCTCCCGCGCACAACCGCACGTAAGCAAGGCCCGCAACTCACTGATGAGCGAACGCACCACGCGGGGCCTAGTGCCGCCACTTCCTGTACAGAGGGCGTCGCGGTCGCACGGCGCGCGAATCGATCCGCGATCACCGAACGGCGCGCGCGTCTTCGAAAAATCAATAATCAATGTCTCTCGTTCGCGCGCGTGATCGACCGCGAGTGTTTCTTTCAACGCAGCACCGGTGATTTTTTCCTCGGGATGTGATCCTTACGTGACGGATCTCTCCACTCGATTTCCTGGATTCTTGCCGCTGAGGAGAGAAGGTAAAAATTAAATATTTGTGATTGTATTAATATATATACGAGACGGAATGAGAAACTCGCTTGGCGCTGCTATGTATGAGCTACTTCGAGCGAAACCGGAAAAGCTGATTTTGCTTATTTATAAATGAATGGGAATAGTTTTGATATTATATAGAATCGCGCAGAAAGGTGTCGATGATGCAAGAGATCTCGCGAAAACGTAGCTATTTATTGGAAAATTTGCTAATTAAGCATTAATATCAAATATCGTTGAATCATGGCAACGTGAAGCGAGTAACGTATAAAGATAGCAAAGCGATGTTCCTGAATTTGGTCATGAAATAATAATAATATGAGATGCTTGCGCACCAAAATAATGTTATGATATTAGGACCATTGCAAGTCCAGTTTAAATGAAATTTGCAGGGTGAGCAATAGACATGAAAGTACTTACGACATTCGTAGACATATTATTTGATTTTGGCTAACCTGCTAATTTTAACTGTTGATTCTGATTCATCTAACCGGACTTATATGTGTTAGTGAAATTGGGCCTTAGCATAATTGCGGAAAATTTCATAAAGGTAACAAAGAAACTATTAATTATATGACATTATTGGAAAAAAAATATATATACATGTTGGAGTACAAATATATATACATATATACATACATACACATACAGGGTGTTATAAAAGTACCGGAACAGCAGAATAACTCGAAAAATATGAGTCCTAAAAAAAATGTTAAATACTGGGTTTTCTGATGTTCAGATAGCCAGGAAAAAATCATAAAAACCCAGTATTTAACATTTTTTCAAGGACTCATATTTTTAAGGTATTCTGCTGTTCCGGTACTTTTATAACACCCTGTATATATATATATATATATATATATATATATAATATATATATACATATATATATATATATATATATTATATATATATATATATATAAGAGAGAGAAAGAGAACTCTCGTTCAAAAGCACAATTAGAATTAATAGATAACCTTACATTTAGCGACATATTGTTCTTCGTAACATTTTTATTGAAAATAATTTTTTTATATTTTGACTCTTGCATTTGACATAATTTGAAGCAAAGGTAAATTTTTTAAATGTCAAATTACTTTACACGAATACTGCACATTTTGATGCAAGAGTGCAGAGATGCAGAGTTTAATTTCGCATGAGTCAATTAAATTTGCACGAAGAATCTTATACATTTGTCGGAAGTTGCGTGAACTCGCACACGTAAGCCGTGGGATCGTGTAACGAGTGTAATGTCTAGGGATTTGGTAACCTTTAAGCACGATATTAAATGTAAATGATGCTCAAGGTTGTTGCTTTTTTTTATTTAACGCGAATTAACGCGCTCGATAATTTGCTGTGTGTGCGGTAAATTCAAGTAAATTCGGTGATTAGCACGATCGATTTATCTGCACTTGAATTTACATACAAATTAAACAAGCTACAATCTAGAATGTTATATTAAAAAGAAACGAGTTTTATATTAAAAATAAAACATTTGTTTCCTATTTAAAAATATTAAAATTTAGACTTGGTTCAGCAAGACAATTTTATTTATATTACAGTTCTTTCTTTTCTCTCTCTTTCCCTCTCCGTTTTATAAGAAATATACATTCTATCAGTATACATTAACTATTCTCATGCAATGTATATCACAGCAATTTTATTTCTTTATTATTTGTTTATATACTATATTATCAAAATAATTATATTAATACCGTATAATCAAAATCATAAATACACTTTATGCATATATTTCATTATTAAATACTTGTCTCATATTAAAAGTCTAATATATTATATTAATATGCATTAAATTACATTACATTTCTTTGCTAAAACAAATTAAATATTTAAATTAACAGATTAAAGTGAGAGATAAGTATATCGAGATTAATGCAATAAACACATTTGAGAAGTTGTCTATGTATATGTGCGATAAAAATCGCGTTTTGACAATATGTATGTGTGTGTATATATGCCTGTTTTGCGAGTAAAATATCACTCAATGGCGAACAATTTATATCATATGCGGCTTCTTATGACGACACGCACGGTACGTGAAGCATTTCATCACACGCTCTTGCGCCGTGCGGTCATATTAAAGATATTTTTAGAGACTTCTGTTTATCATTCGCAGCACGGTTATCATCGTTTTTGCATTTTTCAATACTTTTTTGTACGTTTCACGAATTTTCTGTCTGTTGACTCGCGCCTTTGTTGATCCACGCGTTCCAATTTCGTGTGCAAACAAAAAATGTTCGAAAAATGATCTCGTTACTCACATATCCTGCCTATCTCACGTTCTCGTAATGGTAAATAGTGATTGAATACACATTAGCAGGATTATAAACATTATAAACAATTGATTATAAACAATTGAATTTAATATTTTTTTTATATTAAATTGGAACAATAACAAGAAATATTTACAATTTAAAAAATTACACTGAGAAAAATGTATTAACTTGATTAAACCTTTCAATTAAATTACTATTTTGTTAATTGAACATATATTATAGTGTTTAAGTTAAATATACGTTTTGTTAGATTTAATATGTTTACTTTAAATATTTTTACATGTTCAATTAATAAAATAATATTCAGTTGAAAAGTTTAGTCAAGTTAAAAATTTTTTTTCAGTATAAAAATAAACTTATCTTATTTTTCTACAATAATTGCGACACAGCTGATTTTCAGCTGATCCATCGCGCTTGTCATATATATATATATATATATATATATATATATATATATATATATATATATACATATATATGTATGTATATTGTATATGAACAAGAATATATCTGCAAATTGTGTGACATATTCGTAGACGAACACGTACGTCGCCAACGCTCATTTACACCCTAATTGTTTGCAAATCCATAGTCTGCTATGAATGTAATCTTATTTACGAGTCGCAGTTAAGCAGCCTAACGCTATTTGCTCAGTTCCGCCGAGAGCGCAAGACACTTTGCTTTCCGGGCACGTACTGTAAGCACGATTGACAGTCGTAAGCACGACTTTACGGCTTTAATGACACGATGTTGTTATGTAGAAGAAGGTTATCGATGTTACACGAATCACGTGATCATTAGCCGAAAATAGTACGAAATTCGATGGAAAAAAATTCAAGTATCATATAAAGTCGTTCAAAATAGAATGCTTACAAAAAAGCGAGGAAAAACTTCTTCCAGATCGCTTTTATATAAGCGCGAACATTTAAATATAACTCATATAATATTTCTCTCTTGAATATCAACCACACTCGCGCACTAATAACATTTTCATGTTAAACACAGTCAACGAAAAATGATTTTAAAAAAAATTATGCAAATTCTTATTTTTACTCACGGTATCCTGCCATGACAAATATTTCACGATTGAATGTGTCCGTAAAGCAACGTTAGTAAATAACGAGAAACGATAATGAGAGACGTTCTGAAGAAAGTACTCTCTTCGGTATGATAATTTCGCAAAATAGCATCATCGCGATTTAATTTACCATATAATTCGAGGAACACGAATTGAGAAAAAAGAGATTATCACTGTCTTTTTTTCGAATATCGTCAAGTTTCGAGATATAAAAATGATATGTATATAAATAAGTAAGTAGCGGAAATATCGGATGGTTATATCGGGCGCGCTGAAAGCTTGTATGTACAGCATTAATTCGAAGATCAATCTTTTGAAAACCTGTTGACTTTTACGGCCAGAAAACGATCCTCGTCTTTTTTTACATGCGTGTGATACATATCCCGAAAAAAGCCTCTCATTTTACTCCGAATTGATTAATTTCGCTCGCGCCTTTATTTGTATCTCTTCTCGGTGCATTATCTCTGTATAAATTTCTTAACATACGTGCTGTTTCTTTTCTTCTCCCATTGTTATCTGAAGTATTTCGAGGGAATACTTTGTAATAGAGGGAAAGATAAACGCGCAAATGACACCGATCAATCCATAATTTATCGATAGATCGTGACACTGATTTTTCTATGCATTAGTGTTGCGACTATGTATTAAAAAATAATCATCAATTTACTACGGTAATATGTACGTTTAACCACAGTTAGCAACAGTGACGTAGATGGCAATGCGCAGAAACGCCGATTGGCTGCTAACAACTGCTATCTTATCTTTTTTTCTGTGAATGTCAACATTCGGCGCTTGTTATATGTATGGCATATATTTGTATTCGTATCGAATATTGCTGCATATTATATGCATCTCTTCTACATTTCTCTCTCTCTCTCTCTCTCTCTCTCTCTCTCTTCCTTTCTTACATGATACTGTTGAAGATTTGGATTTTGTAATCTCGCACGCAAGAATCAAGTCAATGAGATGCACACAGAAATGCAATATTAAATATTACAAGTAAATACTAGATAATATATGAGAATTACTTTTATTATAATTTATACCAATCAAAATTGTTTTTCTCTTTCAATAATAAAAAAATCCGATTCTCCGCATTAATCGGAATAATTTATTATAGAGATAAAAAGATATGGAAATAATAATTGAATATAACGATATTAATGATGCATATGATTTTAAAAGTTACTTTACAAATCTAATTAAAGGATTTAAGACGAAAAAGCTTGAACGCGAAACGTGACTTATCGTTAGTTCGCAAAGAAGTCGAACTTGCTCGCCGGCCAAGTGTATCATGCCGAAGGAAATCAGGCTAAATGACAACGATGTCGGTCGTCGCGATCGAACGTGTCGAATCGTAACGACGAGTTTATTTTGAGCCTAAGCGTGCATATCTTATGTAAAGTAACCGCATGTGCGTGGGCAACTCGTTTTTGCCGCAGGTGCGAGCGAACGCGTTACGCAAAAGATATAGAATCGCGTTCGAATAACGGCGCGACTTTTGCGCGAGGTTTTAATTTTTAAATCGCGACATATACGGAACGAGACGATCGTCTTTTTTTCGAGTTTGTTCCAATAGACTTCTCATACCGATTCGATCTCGATCGTAAATCTTCGATTTACACTCTAACGAGCGTTTCTCTCCGTTCCTCGCGGCAATGAAAACATCACGGCTAACGTCATCATTCGCGCATGATATTTCTCTTTTTTTTCCTTTTTATCATCTTATTGTTTCTACGACGAATGAAGATAATTCCGTGTCTATAAATAGATACGGCCGGCAGAAGGAGAGTCTAATAAAAGCACATTCTTAGAGATCGTATGTGCTCGAATATGAAGTCAAAATAACGCGTTTTTTGCCGCGACGATGATTAACATTAATATATATATATATATATATATATATATTATTTTTAAGTTTTATTACTCTTTTCCATTGTTTTAAATTTTTAATAACGTAATTTTTTGTTTTATTACGTTTGCATTTAATTCTGTTATATTAAAGGCTCGTTCTATTTTGACATTATAACATATATATATATATATATATATATATATATATAGTTCAGTCTATTAGTCACTTCATGTGTCTTAAAAATATTATTTTTATATTTAATAGATCGAATTAATTATCTTCTCTTTCATGATACACAATGCAGTGTAGGTATAATAACAGATTTTTCTGTCAATTTTTGTTAAATTCGATTTGCACAAGTTTTTTGCCAAATTTTTACATATAATGTCAAAATAGAACGACCCTTAATATAACAGAATTAAATGCAAACGTAATAAAATATAAAAAATGACGTTATTAAAAATTTAGAACGATGGAATAAAGGATTAATACAATTTAAAATTTATATCGTAAAATTAATTTCAAATTTTTCAAGATAAGGAACACGATTTTTAATCTGTAATTTCATTCAGAATACATGTAATATTTCATTTAAATATTATTGTACTTTGCTATACTTTGATACGCCATGGAGACGTTGACACCTTAATTTTTCATTAACACTGTAAACTTAAATTTATAGTAATATGACACGGCACGCGCAGAGAACATATCGCGCGCGTGTTGCTTACTCATATTTTCGTTTACGAGCATGCAAAGTTTTGCAACATTGTTAACGATGTTCAGTAATGTCGTTCTCAGGAAGGAGGCAGATATACCATTTGAAAATTACGGCGCCGCTTGCAACCTGTACAAACAAACGGCTATTACGTACCGTTATACGATAATCGTGCTTGACGTCAAATATTAAATGATTTCGCTGCGTGAATCCGGGCTGTTTAAATTGTTCGGCTTGATTGAATGATGGCCATAGCTCTAAGTTGGCCGACAACCACTTCAACGTAAATAAGACGGTACACCCCATTCTGTATATAAGAGTCGCCTCGTTATACAGGGTGTCTGTTTATTCGAAACGAGTCGCGTGATGGATACGACTGAGTCATCCAACATTTTATACGCATATATTGTACAAAGGAGCATCATTATATCATTTTCTTATGATTGATATGTCAATATCGATTTCGATTTGTCTTCTCTGAAAAAAAGATTACCAATTTTATATTTGTACCTAAAATATATATTTTTTGACGTTTCACATTTTAGAATCTGTTATCAGTGTTTTATTATCCTGAGCTAATTAAATTACATGTGATGACGGATGATAAACACATCGCGAAATTGAATAGCAATTTTATAACACTATTTATTCGAAATATTGATTTTAATTCTTCTTATTAAGTTCGATCAAGTGTGAGCTGCAAACGCTTACGGACAGTTATTCGTGCAATAAATTTAGGAGTCGGTTTTGTATTTGCACGGCTCGTTCGCACGCAGGCAAAGGCGGGACGTACTGTCGCCACTTTTGTCGTCACGCGTTCCCGAGATGTAACCAAGCGTGCAAATTGAAGCAAAAGTTCACCTCTCGCGGTATCTTTTATCGTCAATGTTTTAAATTTCAGATTTTGCAATTTATTTAACGCAACACATTATTTTCAAGATTGGTATCATCAAATCATAAAAATAGACTGCACATAGGTTGAATAATATTAGATCTATAGTACATATCAAAAAATATGACTGTTTAACTCATGCTATATTTTTAATGTGATAAGTAAAATAGCTTTGCATTATATATCATTTCAAGACAAATTTATAGCGTAAATATATAATTTTAATTAAATCTAGGTTATAGAAATATATTATGTTGATGCATTTATTTTTATTACACTTGACAATTTTTTCTTATAACAAGACATGTTTTAATTCAAGTATCGAAATCGTTATTATTGTAAATCGCTAGTAAAAGTTAGACATCAAAGTGTAATATAGGAACAGATATAATACTTTGCGCCTGAAAGACAATAACTCGATATACATTCGTGTAAACGATGCGGTACAAAGATTTATCGGCAAATAAAGTTTTGCAGCAATATTATAGAACAATTTTATTAATGCATAAATAATCTGAAATCACGTTTTGTTTTTTTAACGCGACTGTCATCTTTATTACGATTCCCGTATTCGATGCGATTTGTCAACTTTTTTTTTAATAAATGACAGCTAGTTACGCGCAAAAGATAAAAGGAGAATAGAAATATGCGCGTAATATGCACGCAATCATGCCGACTCGCGCCAGTCGTGTTTAATTAATTTCCTCAATAATAATAACGTAATGAATCTTTGTGCGTTATCGCTGCTGCGTTCTATCACGCTTTGCTCGCGTGTGTCGAGTTATGTTATTTGAAGCCATTGCACTTACATAAAACATCTAAATTAAGTCATGTATTGTAGTATATTTTAGTACAATGATGACTTTTTCGAAGCCGAATAACAAAAGTACATATTTTCTTCTTTTTTTGCGTATATTTTGATTCTACAAAATTTCTAAATATAATTATCTAAAAATGAGAAACGCGATATCAAAATAAATTATCCCATAATTTTCTATTATTAACGTCCTTGTACAATGTAAGAGCTAAAAGTATACAGAGTGCACAAAATAGATTTTGTAAAAATAAAATATCGATTTTTACCTTTGTTATTATCGTTCGTTTTTTATGAATGTGCGGAGACAATTTTCATTTTAATATATTTTTTAAATATAACATATCTTCAAGAAGAACATTAAAATGCATAGAATAAGAATAGATTCTCTTCTAAAAGTTAATATAATAATTATTAAACAAAATAATCGTATTAATAAACTTGATGTTTAAAAATGTTTAAAGATATTAATAATATCTTGATTATTCCCGTGCTTTTCTCTTCTTCTCTGTTGCTTCTTGGGATAAACATATTCACGCGTAATATTTGGAGCATCAATCCCTTTTCTTTTAATAATAATTTGACAGAATATGAATATAGTGCTTAAAGTAACATTGACTAGACATTTACATTTAATTAAGAAGCACGAGCCTTTTACGATTGTCTATGCTAACAAAAGATACGTAGATATACATACTATTATGATGTACTATTGTCTTTCTGCATTAGATATAAATAATGCATTAGTACACATATGCGTGTATAAAGTAAACCTCGTTTATATGCACAATACGCTTTGATACGTCATGTATAGCGATGTAAGCGAGAAATCTCATGAGAAAATGGTGAGAAATACTAACTGGCACAAAGTTATTATTGGCAATTGATTGATACAAGTAAATGTCATTTACACACAGAATTCTCGATTGTCAAGTTATCCCTATACAGATATTTGTCTATAACGCGCAAATGAATCTTTCTAAATATTGATTCCGTTACTATGGTCGCTCGCAGACTTAACCATTTCAATTCAAGCGATTATCCGGATAGATCAGCGGCGTTATTGCGTCCCATCCATCGATTTCCTCGTTCGATTGCACCGCTCTTTTCTGACCGTTTAAAACTGTTGTGCTATGCCGGGGGCTGCTGGGCGCGGATCTACAAGTGATCTGGAGTATCCCAGGTGTGCCGAAGCGGAGGCTCTTGGTTCCAGCTCGCAAAAGACACGACTCGTTACCAAAGATCAAATTGGTTCGGAGCAGCGGCACGTTTTTAATATCCGACGGCAATTCGTGTTCCACCAGTTCCGGTCGAGCTTCCTGATCGCAGAGCTTTTCCACGCAGGGACACGAATTGCTGGAGGATCTCCAGTTCTCCATACAGGACGATCGTAACGCGCACGAGACTTTTGTCTTGCAAGGACTGTTGTCGACTATCGATTCCAGTTGGCTATTCACCCTGGAGCTCTTATGATCAAGCTGGTCCGAGCTGGCGAATCGCAAACGTTTCGGCGATTCGCTGGAGCATCTTGTGAAAGTGGATCTGACGAGGGACTTGTTCTTCAAGGAACTTCGAGGAATCAAAGGATCGACCACGCTGCTCTTCTTGCCACCGCCATTTCGCTTGCTAGCTCTTTCCTTGCTACGTTTATTGCGTAAAATCGGATCCTCTCCAATTAGCCAATACGTAAGACGCTCGCCTTTGCCTTTCAATGAAATCATACCGCGTTCGACAAGACTAAATCCCTCTAGCTCGTCCAATAATTGCTTCGTCTCGTTGCTGCAGTGAATTTTGAGGGCTACAAATTGAAAATATATGATTTCGAGATAAAATATATGGGGTACAGAGAAAATTTGTGACGTGCAAATTGCAGGTATTAATGTTATAAAATTGTTACTAAAAATAATATTTAATGATACTCACGTAACCCCGTGGATTCCATCCTTGATGCTGTGTTCACTGTATCGCCGAAGAGGCAATAGCGTGGCATCTTAAGTCCAACAACACCAGCACATACTGGACCTATCGAAAAATTATATGAAAACATTATATGAATATGAAAAATTTCAAAAATGTTTTCACCTTGATTTATTATCATTAGAATGCAATACATGTAAAATAATAAGTAGAATAATTTTATCATTATTTTTATTTGTATATTTCTTCTGCTTACCGGAATGTATGCCTATCCTTAATTGCAATTTGTCAAGTGGCCTATGTCTAATTGTAAATTGTTTAATGGCGTCTAAAAGATATAATGACATGCTCGCAATTTCAGCAGCATGTTGAATACCGTTTCTTATCGGCAAACCGCTTACCTGAGTAAGAAGATAAAACACATGTAAGATAAATATAAAATGAGGGAATTACTTAACAAATATCAATTCACTATTTACTTATACTGCGAGTTCTAAATAATTCTGCGAATAATTTAATTCGTAATACTTACCACCATGTAAGCGTCTCCAATTGTTTCAACTTTGTAAACATCATAATTTTCTATCGTCGAATCAAAACATGTATAGAGATCGTTCAAAAAGTTCACCACCTTTCAAAAAAAAGATATACAATGTACAATTACTTACAGTATATGTAGTCGTTTCTTTTCTTTTTTTCGATTAAGAATAATAATTATAAATTAAAAATTTATTTTTAATAACATATTTATTATTACGTAAAAGTTCTCACTTCTAACGGCGTGCTTTCTGACGACATTGATGTGAAACCGACGATGTCCGAAAAATAAATCGTAACGCAGTCGAAACTTTCAGCTTCCACTTTATGTCCCCTTTTTAATTGTTCGGCTACATAACGTGGTAGCATTTCATATAATAACGCGTCTAAGAAAATATAATAATTGTTATTTTTATGTTTATATTCATTTCATGTATCTACTTTTATCTATGAGAAAAACAACAATGTATATTATGTATAAAATATTATACTAATGGAATTAAATTTTATTTATTGTTTTAGTTGACCGACCTGTTTTCTTCTTCTCTTCAGTGAGTTGATCAGTGCGTTCATCAACTAGTGCTTCAAGATTATTCGCATATTTTTCCATCATCCCCATCATATTGTCGAAGATGTTTGCTTTCCTGCAAAAGGTGAGTCATATTGATTATAATTCAACTGTTGAGTTCAAAAAGTGAGTCATATTTATTATAATTCAACTGACAAAATCAAAAGCAGAATTTAATTTAAACTGTCAGAAAAATTCTGCCAATTATATCGAAACTGTCAGTTATATCAATTAACGAAACGATGATTATTTTACATATAATACTATGAAAAATAGACTGACATGCCCTTTCGTAATGGTCTTAATTTGTTTCGTATCATCTTAAAATCCGGACGTAATTCGGGACTCTCTGCCCAGCATTCCAATAAACAGTCACGAACAAAATCGAACGTATTCTCCAATTGATCCAGTGGTGGTCTGCGATTATTTCGTAAAATGTTTGCTTAAAGTCGTCAAATAAATCATCAAATAAAAATGTCATATATTTTTTAACGATTTACCTGAACGGTGGCATTCCCGAATCTCTCGCAATTATTTTTTTTAATATTTCTGCTGCTGATAATTCTGTAACGCCAAATGGTCCATGTCTTCCTTGCAATTCGTATAGCACTATAGCAAAAGAGTAGACATCAGCCCTTTGAAAGTCTCGCATAGTTGGTTGCTCGAGATAGCGAGTAGAGCGTAATAATTCAGGCGCTTTATATAACAATCCTATGAAAAGTGCATAATAAAATATTAATTAATACTATTATATAATATTTATAATTATGATGAGGATAAAATGCATCCTCGATCATTACAATGACACATTGTGCTTATATATTTTTTTAATGAAAATGAGAAGGTCAGAAACAGAGTGAAAAATATCTTTGACAGTTACGCGAAAACTTTAAACATTTGAAAATAATAATAGTACGTGTATATAATATAAAAATTTTTCTCATGGCTTTCTCTCTCTCCCTCTGTCTTTCTCTGTTTCTCTTTCTTTTATGCTTATTCTTACCGTGATATTTTTTTATTACGTCTGAAGGATCGCATTCCGCATCTCGCTTGAATTCATGAAGACCAAAATCCGCCAGTTTTACGACCCATCGAGAGTCCACCAAACAGTTAGAAGTGCTTAAAGAACCGTGATACTTTATGACTGACTCGTGAAGATAAATTATGCCCTAAAAGATAGCATTCAATTTATACGTCTCCGAAATCTTGACGCGCGTGATTAAATATAAAAACAGCTAAGATTTTGGATATAAAATTAAAATGTATATAAAAAGATATCTCATTTATTACATTATAGAAATATTGCAAGTTATTGAATGATAAATCTTTCTTCATAAATCAACGTCTTGTAATTAATATATACTGCACATATACTGCTAAATTTTCTGTGATATGTAAAAAGTTTATAATTAATTATGACACACAATTAACGAAGAGATAATTTCTCACGAAAAAAACAAGAAATTAGAAAATTATATTATTTATATATTTTTTTCATATTTGCCTGTAAAATATCTTTTAAGAAAAATTTTTTTAGAAATTTTTTTTTAGGAAAGATGATAAGATAAAAGCGTCAAATTAAAACTTAACATCAAACTTAAATTGAAAAAAAAGAATTTCTAAATACGTCGGTGATTAAACTGCAGAGCTGTTAAAGTTTCAAACAACGTGTTTTTATTACGGAGTACAAAAGTTTGCGGACAGACGCAATGTAGACAAGTTCAGAAATTGCTTTTCTTATATTATGGACATGCTAGCAATCTGAAATTGCGTGAAAAGAACTCTATACTTTTTCAACAAAGAAAAACATGTTGGATAAAGTTCAAATATATAAAAAATGTTCTAATGTAGAAATTGACGGAAACTTACTCTAATTATATCTCCAATCAGCGAAGCCAAAAACATATTATCGAGTTTAATATTTTCATTTTCCAGTATGTCCTGCGAAAAGCATTCTGGCTGAGCATTTCGTCGAAAATTCGAAATTACAAAAATCAACATCACGCGATTATATTTGGGAACATAATCGATAAGCATAATATATTAAGCATAATTATGTTAATTTTAAAAATTACCGACCTTGAGACTGCCACGTGCACAATATTCAATGATAATACATATGTTAGGTGGATCGGTGCATGCACCGATAAATGCATTTAGATTATCATGTCTTAAATCGCGCATCTGAAAATTTATCGCTTATTTAATTACGAAGAGAATATATAATTATTTTACTGTAATTGCTTAATAACAAGTATAATACCGTAGATTATAAATTAAATTCAAATTAAAATTAATGGCTTAATAAACGTTATACCATTTTCAATTCTTTTTTCATTTCTCGTGTAATCTCAATCGATTTCTTCCTGACTTTTTTAACAGCAAAAATTCGTCCTTTATATACTCCAATTTGCGTATAAATCATGGAATATCGAAAATCTGCATCGGGATTCGAACTTAGCGATACTTGACTAGTTCGCACTATAGGTTGCGTTGTTGGTGGCTTCGACAAAAAAAAAACATTAATATAATTATAATATATGTATATCTCTCAAAGGTTTTATGTTAATGTAATTGTGATTTTAAATATTTTTCGTGACAAAAATTTGTTCTGCAGATTCATTAAAACTTTATAATGATTTATTAAAATGTTATTGAAGTTAAAAAATTGAATAATACTTGAATGAGATAAATTTATCCCGAACGTAAGCAATTTCGATTACAATCAATTGCACAAGGAAACGAATCGGGAACAAAATTTTCTCGATATATAGTGGCATTAGAACGATAGCAATATTAAAGCAAAAAAATTACCTTGGAATTGGCAGGCATCTCGTTGGTTCCAATCGCTTCCTGTTTCTGTTCTTTGATCTGAATGTCTTTATAGTTCACTTTCCAAAGCAAACTATCCAACGCTTGCTCATATTTCCAGTTCCTATAAAGGATTAGAAAAACTGCTGCGATAATAAGTACCAATGTACCAGCAATACCTCCCACGATTTCGCTGGTGTAAGCTGCAATAGCATTCAATCAGTATTATGATAAAGAATTTTTATATAGAGTGTCCATACTTTAGGGGAAATAATAAATTCAAATATTATATTTATTTTTAAAATATGTTTTTTATTAAAAAGATATATTAATATATGTTTATTTTTATGATAAAGAAGACCGCGGCAAAGTTGTGAGTTTATAAAAATTTTGGCAGATTTTTTTTTCATTTGGGAAGCATATTTGTATTAATTAATTAAACATAAGAATTTAGGTATATTTTACCTACAATTGCATTTTTCACCGTGGTATCCGCAATCAGGTTCTGCAAGCGGTGGTCCATCTCCAAGCCATTTTATTTCTTTCGTTATGTGAAGTTTCTACAGAGTTTCAAAAAATTTATTTTTCATACTCTTATTATATATATATATATATATATATAACTTCAGTAGCATTATTAATACAATTCTATAATTTAGAAATACAAAGTTAAATATTACATTGTTCTGTACATTATTCCTATTCTTGCTTTCCGTTTAAAGTGGCAATTAGTCGCTCTAAAGAATTGATATTAAATTAGTATAGGAAAATGTATTTGTTGTTTTTTTTCGGATTGTAATAATATAATATTTTATATATTTTATATAATATTTTAATATAATATATTTGGCTCAATTTAACAATATTGATTTTGTAGCATTTATATTATTATAGATAGATAACATAATTTTACAACTATTATCTTACAATTAGTAATATTTCTGTTTCGAAAGAAAAGAAATGTTTTGGCAAGAAAAGTAATTTTCTTACTGGCAAATTTGTGTCTTGCTCTTTTCCGACGAAATATCCTATCGGATAAAGTCCATAGCCCCTGGTAGATCGATCATCCAATGCAATCAGTGTATAATTACCCTCGGCATCTCCATTCTCATCCATATACACCATATAGCTGGAATTGATTATGCGAATTCCGTTATATGCTCACTTAGGCTCGGTTCAGTCCATTAGATAGAATAGTCATGAGTCATGAATTGTAAGATGATTCTAATACACGTGTCCACAATATTTACTTGCAATTAAGGAAATTTCTCCCATAATATACAATTTTATTAATTATAAAGTGTTTAAATTAGAAACGTACTGAAATATCAATGATGAGATTACAAATTAACATAATGCTTCTAATCGACATCTCTTTATGTCGAATGCGATTTTGATTTGAAAAACAAAAGAAGTAAGTATATATATATATATATATATATATATATATATATATATTAGTTTCTTGCAATATTAAATTATTTTATACATATACATTGTGACAGAAAAATTCAGAGATCTTTACGTTTCGTCACAGTACTGCGTCATGTACTAGTAACACGAAATATCTAATACGGATACCCTGGCGAAAGGATTGAAACGTCTTTCGTCGGACGAGCACTTTCGTTTTGTTTTCATAAAGACGCGGAACATTCGTTTTTAATCGTCAGACGAATCGCTTTTTCCCGACGGGCGTTCTCGCCCGTCAAGAGAAAGATGCATAATAACTCTGCCTTAATCGCCGAGCTACAAATCTTAGCGCAGCGATCTCGGATGATAAATCGCTAAGCTTCCGACTTCAACGACCTCGTTACGGTATGCAAACGGTAATTACTTCGCCGAAAATACACCGCACGCGCGGCTCTCCCTCGGTTTTGGCCTTTAGGGCGAGAGAAATTACCAGGTGACGTTCACCACATAAGGCATCTGATTTGCATGTCGTAAAACGTTACGACGCAACGATCGTGCTCGCGCTTTTATCTCATATTTTCTCACATACGTACCCCATTGCGCTTTTGTAATGTATGCCGTGTAGAGCAGACACCATCTCCCGGCCGTTCTGAGGGTCCCGATTCTCGTCGAGCGCGCGCAGCAACGCTCTCGTATAAAGGTGCACTGCGTCGTACAGGTACGCTGTCTCCGGTACGATCTGCCTTATAACATGAAGTAACGATTACGCTTCGAAATTGGGGGTGAACGCGACTGTACGGTTTGTGCGATTCATTCGAGAGATATCGCGCGCCCGGATTACATAGATTGACGAGTGATCACGAAGAAGACGATAATGACAGAGCGAACGAGTGTCATAATTTCGGAGATGCTCACACAAATGGTCCGCTGCATGTAGAGTAGGTTGTTATTTATCATGCGGAATTCTCAATGATGATATACGATATAGTATGCGAATTATTATTATACAAATTGAGTGCGCGCTTCAATTTCACCCCACTGTAATTCATGATTAGCGTACAATGTTTTAATATCATTTGAATTTTCGCTAGTACGAGTGGTTTCTCTCTTTATTAACGAATCACTTTTAAAAGGATTGTATGAGACGAATTTTTATAAAGATACAAGTATAATATTTTTTGCAACACAAATAAAGTATTAAATGTACTGAAATATTGACGTGTGCAAACTTTATAAGACATAATTTTTTTTTTATTTTAATAACAAATAAAGAACTTTAATTGGTTTCGCTAATTATAAGTACTACTGAAAAGTATTGAAGAAGATTTTCAAACTCAAGAAAAACATTAATAAAGAGAAGAAATCAGAAAGAAATATTTTTATCGGCTCTCAATATTAAGAATATAAATATGATGTTTTTAAATCGGCCAACAGAGCCAAAGCACGAAAAATTAATTATTCGGAACTGTATCTCTTGGTTTGAGATCACTAAGTTCCATATATAAATTAATCTCGAAACTTACATATGGAGAAATAGGCGCGAAAAATATAGGTCCGAAAATCCGAGATAATTTATATATGGAACTTAGTGCTCTCAAACCAAGAGATACAGTGCCGAATAATTAATTTTTCGTGCTTTGGCTCTGTTGGCCAATTTAAAAACATCATATTTATATTATTATAAAGAGATAAAGAGAAAATCTGAATTTTATAAGGCTATATATTTTTACGCAGAGAGTAAATTTTTAAATATGTTCTCTTAATCTAATCATTGTCTCTAATAGTCACCTGAACTACTCCTCCGACTTTTGCCAACGGATTAGTAAAATTGAATGGCGGTTTCTGTCTGTGCTCATTAACGAGAAGAGTAAAATTCATAAAGTTGATGGGAGCGGACGCGACGATGCTGAAGTAACTACGGTACGCATTCACGATTGATAGATCCATTTTCTTTTGCCATAGTCCACGAAGATACTTATCCGGTCTCTTCTCATCATATTGCTCAATGTCGACGCCGACGACCCAATATTCGCCTATCATAAAATGCATTAAATGTTATCTTTTGCAATATACGATAAAAAGAATAAAGAAACTCTATAAAACTACATAAAAATGATTACTCGCCGTACTTGAAAGCTTTTTTGTTGCATCTAATTTTGGTAGTATCTAATATTATTAATGGTTATATGACAGTGATAAAAATATCTTCTTCAGTTACTTTACTTTTTTTTTAAATTTGTCTATTTCGAAACATATTCAATTTGTGATACAATCATACACGTAATACGTAAGAGTTGACATTAAAATTATTATAGTCAGCTACTTTTCCATATATCTGATTATTTTACAGCCAATATTTATACCTTTTTTTAAGAGATTCATTTCATCCAAAGCCATCAAGAGACCAATATGCTCGAAATAGTCCCCAAGAATCACGTAAACTGAAATGCCATTTTGTAATATTATTGTATTTATATTTAGAGAAAATCATTATATTGGAATTTCTTTCCGGTCTATCACGTCCACTCTATCGAATCAGGATTGCTAAAACCAGTCACGTAGATGTTTATTTTTAGAACTCGACCTCTTAATACATCCAAATAGATATGTGACTAATGAAACAAGCTGTATCTCTTTTCGAGTTAGCATACTTGCTTCTGCAGTATGCGGGTAATTATTTCCCAACTGCAAGTTTCATTTCGTATCTTATCGCGTATAAATTAAGGAACCGAAATACGGGTAGTCTATTTTAAATCGTGCATACAAGTTGATTGAGAAAAGATACACATCATCGTACGTGAAGTGAACTTTCGAGCCAGAAATGGAAGCCTACGTGAAAGAATTAATGTTAGAAACCGACCTACACGCTTCGAAATAAATTGTCGACTAATGAAATATACATTGTAAACTGTTGAAGCTTTGATATTTTTTGATGAATATATTAACGTGTGAGCAAATTATTACTATTTGAAACCAAAAACTTTTGTCACTTACTTCGAGTTTGTCGATATGTATCTCTAACATGCTTATGAAATGGATTTTGCATATGCGTATGCACGTAATAAGGTTCGCTCCAAGATCGCAGATATGTCACTGTAATGCCGGCCGCTTCGAAAGACGTTAGAATTGTTGTCGCTATTGTAGACATTCTATTGAACTCGAACATTGTGGAGTTCATGTACATGAACGTTACCTAAAAAGATAAAATATATTAAAATCATATTTTAAAATATTTTAAAATATTATAAAGAACATTTTTGAATAATATTTTAATCTTATCAATTATAATATTAATTTTATAAAAAAAAATGCATTTACATGCAGAATAAATAGTATACTCACTTTTGTCCAGTTGAATGCCATTAAAACCGAAACAACGGATTTTGATATTTGTGTGTCAGGCGGTCGAGTTCTTACAAATGTGGGAAATTCTTTTTTATTCGACGTTTCATGATGTGTGCAAAACTAGATTAAAATATAATAGAACAGTCGTTAATTGTCTTTTTCTTTTAAATTTTATTTTATTTTAATTTTATTTTTATGTGTATCTGCTATAGGATGTGTTGGCAAGCGTAGTACGGCGTATTTAGATTCGCGCGTTGAGAATAATTTATTTCATTGTATAGTTCGTTGCTTTTGGGGGAACAAGTTGCACATTAGATTATTAAATCACGTCGAAACGAGCGAGAAACGATCGCAAGGATTCGCGACCGGAGACTATTTGTGCCATTATATATGTGTGTGCGTGTGTGTGTGTGCGCGCGCGCTATTTTTTCGATATTTCGAAGTAAAATACTACATATTAACGTTCGTATACTTCGTTCGTGAACATTATTTCTTATAAAGCATATTTTAATATTTTCTTTGAAAATATTTCATATTTTTCGCAATTGTGAAATAGTTTCTATAATATGTAACAAAAAATTATCTCATACAAAAATTACTAATCAAAACTCTAATATTTTATATTACACTATACTGTTTTTAACATTCTTTTTGTATTTTGTTATTCTTTTATTTAAGTAATAAATATAGGTGTTTTACCAATAAAATATGTATTTTTAAATTATATTAATTACTTATGGCTATGAAAGTTTAATAAATATTTGGAAAATATATATAAGAGATTAGTTAGAGATTTCTTAATATTTATATCTTAGAGAAACCATGCTTACATAATAATTATATATCAAAACAAATATTATTAAATCCATTATTATTATTATTTTAATTGGCTTCTTTTTCTAATATGTTTCCTTAAATTAGCTGTTAATATACAATTTTATTTCTTCAGTATCTTATTAAAAGTTTCTTATTTATTTTGCTTTGGAAATATTCTCTTTCACTGAATGAAATAAAAGCTACATACTGACAATGAGAAGAATTTGGAGCGCGAAAATTGCTAGCTATAAACACTTCTCTCTCTTTATTTCATTTTCTCTCTCTCTCTCTCTCCCTCTCTATGGAATTCTTGCTATCAGATTATAATGTTACGCAATACAGAATGCGAGATGAGAAAGAAATAGAAGAAATTTTACTGTGCAGAGAGGAAACTGGATTTCAAGCACATTGATGTAAACAAATGAGCATGAAAATTAGAATAATTTTATATGGTATAAACAAAAATTACTGACGTAAGAGATCATTGGAATGTTAAATGCAGCCGCCATTCTGCCTTCGTGAATGCAGGTCTCTTGTGGACCGATGTAAGCGCTAATGTTTTTTTTCCATAAATTTGCTACTTGAAAAATACTTGTTTCTTCGTCACCATATGTTTCGGCAATAAAAAATTCCAAATTGTGCCCTCGTTTGCCAAGCTCGCCAGCATTTACCTGTGTGTAAAATCACTTTTTTAAGAATATTTTAAATAAAAAGATCAATGATAATTAAAAAATAATAAATTTTATCTTTGAGGAATCTTAATAGCAATGCTTTTTATAACATTATGTAAAGAGTATGTGCACGTATCATTTCATAAAATTTGTTCTGTACGTTTATATGAAATTTTAAATTGTGTTCTAATCATGTGACAACAATTGCGCAATTTTCAAAACTAGACATATTCTTTCGCGCTATCGCAAATTGCTCCAGTTTCACTTAATCAATGTTTAACGGATAATTGATATTCAATAGATAAGCCTCATATTTCTGTCTGATTAGAATTGTTAAATTTAATTATCCGCTTTCATGGTGCTAATCACGGTCGATGATAATATTAAAGAAAGAGGGAAAGAGGAAAGGGCAGCAGGGGCAGGGCACACGATTACTCACCTCCTCTACGGCCAAAGTGATAGCGCCAGATATTCGGAAGCCGGGACGCTGATACTCCAAGTCCTCTAGACGTCGTTTCGAACCAGTGATATAGCCTAATAGGAAGGTCTCCGCGTCAACGACGCTCTTAACATCGAGTAAAACGTAGATCGCCGTCAATAGCAGACACGTCCTTTTCACATTTGCCAGTAGCATGCCCAGCTGTGCAAAAGCCTTCGTGCAAGAGTTTTGTCAGTATACTCCATAAGTTTGGATTTAAATGAAACGATTGAAGTGCCAGAATATTCTTTTAAACAAATTTTTCTTTCTTATATTATAAACATTTTTTTTGACATCCTAAGTAATATGTTTTTATATAAAAAGCATTGATATGATTAATTAAAATTCCTATTAATAAAGTGTATATATCATATAAAAGATAACAAGATCGTATTTCAATTAAAACTCATGTTACTATGCTGATACTCTGCTGATTATCTTTAAATTATTGAGAGCATCTTAATTGAAATACATTTTAAATAAAATATCAAAATAAAAAATCATATATATATATATCTATATATTCTATATATATAATATGAGAGAGAGGAGAGAGAAGAGATATTTTATATAAAAAATAGGATTGCTTTTAGTTTCCTTAATGTAAGTATAGACCCATTAATTATTGCAAGAATCGATGTTACATTATTACTGCATATTTATATTATTAGTATGTGTAACGCATCCTTTCTATGAGATATGTGCAATAATAATGTAATATCAGCGTCTATGATAATGCAATTTTCACAATTAAGTTTATATTCGCCTTTGATCCAATAATTAATTTACACTGGATTGCTGTAGTATTGAACGTAAAGTCAACTACAGCGGCGGTCGCGTGTTTGTCTTTCGTCCACTAGGTTTATCGGTAAGAGCATGATAGTAGGTGCAGGTGGGTGCTTGTAATGTGGTAATGGATGAAACAGTAAGCTCCGCGGGTCGCAATAACCCCATCAATCTCCCATGGTGTACCTAACTTCCTCTTTTCTCCATATACTTGAAATACTTGGAACTTTCTCCTCACAAACAGTGACGTCACTTTAGAAATCAATTTTGTTGAAAAATATAAAAAAAATTGTTCCTTTGCATAAATATTTTATATCCAATTATTTTTCTATATTATATTTTATAATACCTATATTTTAGAACATCTTTTTGTAGACGCGCTCACAGTAAAATTAATGTTAAAATATTATTTCATCCCGATATATGGTCGAGAAAATTAAAACTAATAATTTTACAAAAATATTTTTTGTAAACATATAATTTTTAATTATGATAAATACAGTCATTTCTTGATTATCGCGTGTTTGACGTACGGCCACTTTTTTCAAGCGAAAGAAAAAGCGTAAAGAATAAAATACTCAAAATTTATCGCATGTTACGGAGTCCATAAATGTTCTCGAAAAAAATATATTTCATGCTCGGTGACAGCGTGACGTGTAAACATTTACGATGCGTGCAAACGCAAACATCGGGATATTTACTTCAGAAGGACCATCTCGACGCGATATACACGATGGCTATCACAAAATCAGTTCTCGAAAGTTCGTATGCGTCGGTCTCGCGTGTCGTGGACCCATTATTAATAGCGGTCTATTTTAATAATATGTCCGAACCGCGGGGTCGTTGGACAAACCGCGCTTAGGCGGTCCGCGAGGTGTTGCGTAAAGACGTCAAGGTCACACACAGTCACCGAGACATTGAAGAATTCACAGTTTGTTTACGTGCGAAAAAGGCGAGCGCGTCTCGCGAATCTTGAGTCGCCCACTGGTTGATTGATAACTCTTTAGCATGATTCGCACGGATTTGCGACGTGGATGGATAATCATTCCCTACGACGATGCGATCGTGGGAATGGATACGCGGTTTCGATGAAATTGCACTTTTGACGGCGCCGATTTCGCTCTTCTCGGTATTCCCTGCCGTAAGGGGAAACGCATATGTAGTAAACGCGAGGCAAAACGTCACGCGAGGTGGAAGATAATTCGTGAGGAGAGTGTATGCCACGCTGCTCGTATAGGTATTGCACGACGGCTACGCATTTGTCCAAAGGCAGTGAACCAATTAACCCCGACGATGAGCTGACCGTTCGTTCTTAAATTACCTGCTGCGCCGCTTTCACGGGCATACGTGTGTTCGCCGTCAGTTGTAAATTCTTTCTAGCGAGAAAGAATGCCGTAAAATTGTCGGCACTCTTTGCCAGTTTTATTAGACTGGAGACATTGATAGTTAAATTTTCAGTATGCATTCGATAGCTAAAATGCGTACTATTATATTATATATTAATTTATTAGTATATAAAATAATAATTGCTTATCTAAATATATTTTTTATATAAATATAGTAACTAGGAAAAATATTAAATTATTGATTTCTACATATATTTTTTATTTTAAAATTCTATTTATTATTTATTTAAACACATCTTATCTTAATATATATGTATATGACATATAACCCCTAAAGTTTTTTATTCAATATCTTTCGTAAAAAAAGAAAAAGCATTTTAATCGCGTAATGGACTTTCGTGATATCTTAAATTGTGTATTTCGCGACCTCGATTGCTTAACACTCAAGTGACAAACTGTGGATCCGCGTCGTCGTTTAATCTTACGGCTTGCCAACAAGTTTTGACAGTCAATTCTCGTCCCGTCAAAACGTAGCACAACGCTCGTATACCCCGATTGCAATGCAATCGGCGAATTAACAAGCGACATGGTCGCTGAATTAATGCGGTTAACGGAGCACGGTACCACTTTTTCAGGTTTACCTGTACCGATTTACCACCCGATTAAGTGATTTATCTGTAGGATTTACTTGTTCGCTTTATTTACGACGATTGCGTAGTTTTATCAGATTAAAATTGGCTAATATTTTTGTGCAAAATAAACATTTATGGTGATCTCGTTTGAATAGATCGTATATTGTATTTTATCATCGATATATGAAGCTTAAATATAAAGCGGATCATTATTTTGTGAGCTATCGAATAGACGACAGTTAATAACAAATACAGATATACAAAAGTGACAACTGTATGGTTGAAAAAGAACGCTTAAATTGATTCAAGGATTTCATGCGCTATTATCTAAAATAACAATGTCTATTTCGGATTTATAACGTTTCCTGCAGGACAAAATAATCTGTACAGGTACATCAATACACGTTGACAGAAGCAGCGCGCCTATTTACGTATTGAATAACGAGTGCGCTTCAGGGTTAAGCCGACAGTATAGAGAAATTTGCCCCGAGGATGACTGTATGTGATCAGAGAGAAAGAGATAGATAGATAGATAGAGAGAGAGAGAGAGAGATTTTAACTCCGATTTACATTTTATTGCGAAAACCAGAGACGCACGTGGACGCGCGACGACGTAACGAGTTGTTAGCGATCGCGCTCGGACTTCCCTCCGGGCCGACATTTTGACAGCATGCCCGACGGCGCGCAAACTCGTGACGCTAATTACGGTTGACTAATCCAGTCTCTCTGCGAACGTTTTTTTTATTCGACGTGACGTGCATTACGTTGCCGGGGAAAAAAAAGAGAAGCGGGTTGCGGGCGTAGTTGATCGCGTTTACGTGAATCGCTCGTTTCGGGCTTGTGATTTACAACCGCGGTTTTTTTCTCCGTTTGCAATTGGAAAATTTACAAACCTTTGCTCTTGTAGCAGAGACAGATGTAACAGCGCGACAAACTATCGAGATACGTTTTGTCAAAATAATGACATTTCAAAGATTAATATATACATTTCAAAAATTAACTTTCGTTTGTAAAGAAGAAATAAATCATTGCTATGTTTATCGAAAACATTTTCTGTTTTACTATACAGTTATTAAGTAAAATTAAACATACAATTATATATAAATAATGTATATGAAACATGAGATTAAATTTCTATAAATTAGAATTTTTGTTATTTGACAGATAAATTGATATTATTCTGTGATATTTATCTTTTTGTAATTGATAATATTTCACTATTTCTAATTAAAAATATTTACTTTCTTCAAATATATCAAAATAAATATGTCAAGCACAATCAATTATCGGTATTATGATTATGTACAATTTAATTTATATTTGTCTTTTAATAAATATGTAAAACTCACAAAATATTGGCACAACTGGATTGAATAGCATTTGATGATTGATCGAATAATCGAATGAATTATGTTTTTAAAGTAACAATAATTAAGAGCATCGTCTAAATCATGTTTATTTATTATCCTGCTTTTCTTGTCTTTTTTTCTTATCGCGAAAAAGAAATCGTAAAAGGCGATTAAGATTGAAGGTCGTAAACGCAACAATATTAAAAGACCAAAAGTATATTTATTATGCCGCTCAACATTGTCGGTTCCATTCGTCTTGTTAATTCGGCAAGGCGGTGCATCAAGCAGAATTAATCTTTGTGGATGCGCACGTGATTTGCACGTTATGCCCACGATTTAAGACCGCGGCGTTGGATGCAACTAATGAACCGCTCATTAGAGCAGAAACGAGCAGTTAAACGACTGAGAGTGCCTGGTATATATGAGGAAGATCTTTTACGATCTTTTTCACAAAGTGCCAGAATTTGTCGTGCGATAGAAACCTGATTCTGATAATAGCAAAATGTGTTATAAACATGCATTAATATGAAAGGATCCAAAATTTGCATGATTTTTTAATTTATTACCAGCAACGGTAAAAACATTAATTAACCACTTATTTTAACGTGTTAATTAAATATTTATTATAGAAAATTTGATATTATTCAACATTTCACAGACTTTAATCTATGCTTTAAATCTATAAATATAATAATATACTTAGCGATAAATAATTTGTCTCTTGCTAAGTAAATCATCAAGACTTACTAAAGATATAAAGTCAAAGATATGAAGGAAGTGTGCAAAGAAAATTAATTCACAACAGCTATAACAAATGCGATATTCAAATCGCGCATTTCCGTTTGGCCTAAATAAATCTCCCGCGATTAGCACGCCGTGAGTTTGCAAATAGATCTGTTCCTAAATCAACGTGCGTTACGAGGCAGATCGGAATAGTTTCGAAATAGTTTGCACTTGATTATACATTTATATAATTTGTATAATTTGTATAATTTTATTTAAAACTTTTGATTTTCGAAATTGTATATTAATATGAGACTTATAAAATAGGTATAAATATTTTTATTACGTGATATTTGCATTATTTATTTATAATAAAATATATATTAAGTACTATATTAATTATTAAAATGTAATAATAAAGATTTTATCAGATTCTTTCAGATTTCATTAAAAATTATTTGGTAGATATTAATTGAATTTTTTTATGCACACAATATTTGTTTATATACAATAAATATTTCTTTATATATGTATATATTCTAGCTTTTATTATGTTTTTTTTTACTATTTTTAAAACAAAAGTTTCCTTGGAGGTCGTTAGAAAATTGTCAAAAAATATTTTTGAAATTTACAATCAGATCACCGTGTAGTATACAAAGATCGTAAGAGAAAGTAATGTGTTGTACGTTTTTATCACTATTTCTTTCGCAAATCGAGCCTCAGGTATATTCGAATGGATTACAATTCGCCATAGGCATTCACATACACAATACACAATATTACACACAACCATTCTATATATACATATGTATATATACATATGTAGAACTTACGTGAAGTATACAAATATATTATTTATTGTTAGTTATTTTGGAAGAAAATCTTAAAAAAAAAAACAGAAATGCAAAATTTATTATAATTTCTATCGTGTAACTATTTATATTTGTAGATAATATTTTTTTAATAATTTTTATTACTTTTTGTTTTATCATTTTAATGTGCATAATGCACGTTTATGCGTTTTTCGCACGTGGTAATGAAACACGTAAATAACATATAATTAAATGAATATATAACTTTTAATGAAAAGAATCATGCGCGAAAAGAAAAAGTGTAGGAAAATATAATTTATAAAATGTTTAACAGTTATTACGTAATATTAATTTGCATTTGGAGTGCACATACTTCAGCATGCCATGTGAGCTTAATATGCGTTTGTACAGAAAATTGATGGCCTTCGCAGGAAAATGCGCGGAATAGAATTTACGTACGTGTATGTGACCTTATTACGTTGCATGTACCGGATCTTGTCGCGTTGCACTAAATGAAATCTGATAAATCTCATTGAAGGGAATGAGACGCTTCTTTTCTCTCGGATGCCTCGCTATCGTAGTATTATGCGAGATTGAAAGTCTCGTACGACAGAATTTATCGAGATGAAATCCATACATACCGTTACATTTTTTTAGAATAGCTCTCGCTTTGAATACTATCGAGATTATCGATGCGTGATGTTCGACTATAGCTTACGTAAGATAATAATTTCGTTCCTCTACGTCGTAAATATCAAGAAGTCAGTGAAAGCTATAACATAAGAAATGTGTATATCAAATAATACTAATTAAATAATGGGAAAAGAGTATAATTTTAATTTATAATAACAAGATATTGTGATTTCTAAATTATTTATTTACGCATAAAAATTAATTTCGTACAACGAACGATTTCGGTAAGCAAGCAAATTAAATATTTCTAGGACACGCGTGAATTGTACGACGCTATATTATTGTAGGAAAAGAATGATCAACAAGTCCCGAGATTGGTGAAGCGAACATGACTCACCATGATCATGACTATTAGCTTTCGCCTAAGAAAGGTGATCTCGAATCTATGTCACACAGTAGGTAGAATATTACATAGAGAATTTTAGGCACGCCTCAAAGCGTTACATCAACGTCGCCAGACTATGCCTGCAATTTCTACATGGCATCGATTTTCTAATTAAGTCCTCGTCGATTTATATTTTGACACGAACGTAACAAGCTGGTTATAGTTTGGAGGATAAATTATGTAGGCAATTTGTCGCAAACGCGTGAACGATCGTAGTTGCTTGCATTCGCGGAAGTGCGTATCTTATTTATGTCGTGTAACAGTTATCGCGCGTACATATACAAGGTAGCACCGACGTTGGTTGCGATACATGACCAATAATACGATAGTCATTGTCCGTAAATGGTAATGTTATTATTAGCTGCTAGCAACATGAGACAGACACTACATATCGATAATCAATTAGCGTCCATTCGCACAAAGGAGAAGCAACAGCACCGGTAATGATAGATAGATTGATCAAAGTTGAAGCTGAAATTGACACATACGTAATTATTTCATAATAACAGATATTTGTGAAAACATGGGAAAAATTAAATAAAAGACATAAAAAAAATTATATCAAAAATTGAATTAAAAATTGAATTTGTATATTAATACAATTATATGATTTAGAAAATCCAACAGTCTTATTTCGTATACTCGTCCATTTCTCACAAGATTCATTAGTGCGAACCACCGAACTTGGCCGCATTGTAACTTTTCCCAGTAATTAATCCATATTACGCAACGCTCTCCTGCTCTTCTAACTTCCTCTTAACAGGTTGAATGTTTGAGCTCGGTTTTCACCCAATCTAGATTCCCCGCCGGCGGTAGATTCGTAATCTTCAACGGCGAGACGTGCGTTTCATGAGAATTCATGGCATCCCTGCGCGCTTCTCGACATGGAATACATTAATTTGGCGATAGATTAGGGACGCCCGCGCAAATAAACCCTGAATTTCAATATGATCCTTCTCGCGTCTAACGTTTGCGAATCTAATATTTGCAAACATAGATAACGCGCATTCTCTCTTTCTCTCTTTCTCTCTCTCTCTCTGCAGTGAATTTCAAAATCGTTATCTATAGAATGAATAAAGAATAAAAGAAATTTAGGAATAATTTACATTTCTACTAAGTTTTAAAGTAATTACTTGAAAATATATTTTTGATGAAGCATAACTCGTGAATTCATTTTGAATCTTTGCCCCAATTGGAAAGAAAAGATTTTTTGTAAATAATATTTATTACAAAACATTTTTCGTATGCCGATAATAACGTTTTACAGGTAAACTTTGCACATTTTAACTTGTTTTCGATAAATTCTGAATCTATTATCTCTTTTTGCAACACAGATGCGTTTGTCTAACTATTACGACATGTTCAACACGCGAGAACTCAGCATTGTGATTTATTGATTTGATTTTTCGTTGGCACGTGGTAACACCTTCGTTCGAGAAGTTATTTACAACTTCCGAAGTTATCTTCCAATATTTATTCTCGCATACGACTTCTGTTCTTTTTCTTGGCATCGTTCGCTGGACTAATCATTATATATGGCGTACGCCACGCTTTTACCATATTTGTTTCCCATCGAACCGCAATGATAGCTCTCTCGCGAGAGTTTCCGCTTTTATATTTTTTAAATTATTTTAACGTTCTAGGTAGATCGTGTATTTTGACCTTTTAATAGAAGTTAATGATTAATCAATGTAAATGGTTGCGTTTTACTTTGTTCAGGCAATATTGATAAATCTATTCTGTTCTCGAACATATTCCCAAATAACAAATTTTAAAGGCAATTATCCAACACATAATTTGCAGTCATAAAAATATAGAAATGAAAAAAA